GCAAATGCCGTGTGCATAGTCATCAGAATGGAGGATGCGATAAATGACTCTTTTTTCTGCCACTTTAGAAAATATAGTCGGGGCAGCTAGGTGGTACAATGGATAGAGCACAGGTCTTGGAGTCAGGAGTACCTGAGTTCAAATCTGACCTCAGACACTTGACACTTACTAGCTGTGTGACCCTGGGCAAGTCACTTAACCCTAATTGCCAATTTTTAAAAAATGCAAAAACAACAACAAAAAAAGAAATAGTCCTGACAAGATCCAAAGCTGAAATGGAAGAGAGCAGAGAGGGTGAGATTTAATTGCTATGAAACTGTAGACAAAACATCTGAATTTTTTCACCCCTGGGAGGTATGGGAGACAGATGGAGAAAGAAAGAGACAGAGCATGTGCTAGCTTTTTTGATTTATAAAATAGTTTCCTCACAGTTACCCAGAGAGGTAGACACAGCTAGTTTTATGCTCTTCATTTGGCAGATGAAGAAATGGGAGCCTCCAAGATGTCCAGTGCCTTGTCTTGTTCTTTTAAATTGAAGTCTCTTAACTCTAAGCTCAATGGTACCACATGACATCTCATGTTGTCCAAAGAAATAGAATACTTCTTTTTCAGGAACACAATGCTATTTTTCAACATAGCCTGTGCAGTTGCTCTGCTTTGCATGTTAATAGTATGCTATAAATATAAAATGAGAATAAGAACAAGAGACTTCTTCATCACTGCTATTTCATCTATACAGCCCATGCTAAAGAGATTATGTTAAAATAAAACTGTGCAGTTTCCTATTACATGTGTCCTTTTTCTTGTTGGACCTAGCACACACACACACACACACACACACACACACAAATAAACAAACCAGCAAAGCTTATATTTACAAGATATTAAATACAGATTGAAACTGGAAAATTCTGTGAAAAAAAACCAGATGTGTTATCTACAAGGCACCATGGCAATTAAATACTTAGAGCTACTTGGGTTTTTGACTCAATTTTCAATTTTATCTGAAAAGTGTTGTTTCATTCAGAAATAACATTTATCTATGGAAAAGCTAGGCCTTTACATTGAAACACAAGCCTCCTCTTCATTAATTTTTTTCAAATAAGGAATCAGTGTCTATATCGCCATTTTTTTTCTCACCAGTCAGGCAAATAACTACCAAGAATAGCATTAACTATAATTTAACTATAATGGCTCAACAGATTGCTTCTGATTGTGTTGGATTTCCATATCGTGAAAAAGGACGCTTAGAAGTGTATTTTCCTGAGTACTGTCCAACTGTTTCCTAGAAACATAAAGAAACCATTGCGGATTAAAAGATCTATGTTCATACTTAGAGGTCTTTTCAGTATCTGCAAAAGCTTTTAAAGCAGAACGATCATTCTGATCCAATGAATCCAACGTACCTAGAGACACCATAAACACGAGTAATTCCCTTAAAACATAAGTAATACAACTCTAAGATAGCACTGTCACTTTAGAAAGCAAGGGGAAAATTTTACTGGCCTCTCTACTAAAAGTTCCCATTTTCATAGTGCCCTAAAGATTACAAAATGCTCTCCTCACAATAATCCTGAGAAGAAGGTAGTGCAAGGATTATTAGCTATTTTATATTTTACAGAAGAAGAAATTGGGTTCAGAATAGTTAAAACAATTGTTCAAAGTTGTAGTACCTAGAAGCTAGTAAGCATTAGAAATAAGAACTTTTCTTTAAAAAAAAAGTCTTTTAATGACTATTTTTAAAAAACCCTATGTTTAAAATGTTTAAAATAAAATGAATTCTTCTTGGTGTTCTCCTCATTCTTAGTGCTATATTTCAGATTTCTTGGCTTTAGGTCTAATACCTTTTCTGTTCTGTCATTCCTTCCTTCCTATTACGGGACTCCACTGGTAGCAACGTTATTGGGCAGTTCAACTGGAGTTTTTGTAATCTTGTTTCACTGGCTCTGCCATGGAACCCAGTGACAAGATTGGCATGTGTTCCAACATTTTCTTGACAGTAGAGTTTTTAATTGGATGAAAATCTCATGACATTCTTTTTAAATTGATATATTTTGCCTTGACACAGAAAGCACTTGCCAACAGACACCCAAACAAACCTCCCACCAAATACATTTGCCAAAAATAGTTAAGCAAAACTGCCTAATAGAGTGATTGCAATTGATTGTACATGTTGCTTTCACTTTTGTAGTTTACCACTTGTGAACAGAATGAATCTAGAGCTGAAAGGGGCCTTAGAGATCATCTACTCCAATTTCCCCATTTTACGGGCCAAGAAATTGAGGCTCAGGGAGTTTAAAGACTAAGTGCCCAAGGTCATACATGTGACTGAAAACACATTTAGTAAACATCAAAAGTTGCATTGAACTTTGATCCTTTGACTTTATAGTTAATCCTCTTTTCAGAGTAAGGAAGGATGGTCACTCTAAATTTCGTAATTTGGTACCAGCATTATCTAGTGTCATTGATCTGAGTTCTGTTGGCTCTTGATATCAATTAAATTTCCATAGTTGTAATCATGCATGTTGTCCTTCCGCATTTTGCTTTTTTTCCATTCTGTATCACTTCCTACAAGTCATGCAACATTTCTCTGAGGCCTTCACATTTTTCATTACTTTTGGAACAATAATTTTCCATTGAATTCATATGCCAATTTGCTTAACCAATTTCTTTTCAATATCTTTTCAATATTCAATATATATATATATATATATATATATATATATATATATATATATATATATATACAAACTATATATATTTCAAAAATGATTGCTATTAATCTTTTGGGGCTATAAATTGTCACATAACACTTGGGTCATTTGGTATAAACATTTTGCTGACAAGTAGAGTCACTTTTATTTCATTAATCCATATTGATTTCCAAAAAGTTGGATGGCTTGACACCTTTGCCAGGAATAAATCAAGATGCCAATCTTCCCATAGCTCCTTCAATATTATCACAGGACTTTTACTTATTAGTTTTTCCCTGGCTGGTGAAATTCCAGTTTCAATTACTGAGAGGCTCTGGGTCATGAAAATGATGCTTCAAGTAGTCTCTATTGTGTTGGAATCTGTTTTGGAAGTAGGGGGCTAGAGTGGATTGAACACTGGACTGGGAATCAGGAAGACTCATCTTCCTGACTTCAAATTCAGCCTCAGACACTTATTAGCTATGTGACTCTGGACAAGTCACTTAACCCTATTTGCCTCAGTTTCCTCATTTTTAAAATAAGCTGGAAAAGGAAGTGGTGAACCACTCCAGTATCTTTGCCAAGAAAACTCCAAATGGAGTCACAAAGAGTTGGACACAACTGAAATGACTGAATAACAATAATAAGCCAAATACCCATAAACCTCTGTGGAAAATTCTTGGACACAAAGAGTCAGATCAACAATACTGTCACCCAGGTACAGGCCGATAAGCAACACCCTTGTTACTTGCCTCTGGTTCAAAAGAAAGAAATGGCACATTTGATAGGAGCAGACAAAATGGTACCACTGGCCTTTCTTGCCCATGACTGAATGTGTCTGGGGTCTAGATCAAGTTCATTTTTCTTGAGCCATGCTGTTAGTGCTTCAAACTTCCTGCATCAGCTTCTAACAACTCGTGCTAATGTTCATTGTCAGCTGCTGCCTTTGTCAATGGTGTTACATAAGAGTCAGCAGTGAGATTATTCTTTTGTTGATTTCGAGCTATTTCTACATGTGAATTTTGCCAACCTGCTCTTTGACTTAGTTATAGTTATATTTAACCTTATTCTTCTCAGTGAGCCTTTTAAGGCATGACACAAAACAACCTTTTCCCCACAGGGAGATGGATTTTTATAACTGCTGGAAACTTAGAGCTTCTTTCTTTGTAGTCATTGAGAAGGCAGTGGGTGTGGTGGAGTGTCCATGGTACTGGGATGGAATTCAAGAGATGGGGAGATATGTTCCTATTTCAGCCTCTTCATTTGTGTAATAATGAGCCAATCACTACTCTCTTTGAGGTCAACTAGAAGAAAGTGTTGACTACCATGGATACTAAGCCACAGGAGTTTCAGAGGAGTCATCACTCACATCCCTTCAAAGCCTTTAAGCCCCTCCTCCCATCCCTTTGTTGTCTACAGAAAGTTAAATGGATGAGATATTTAACTTTGAAGAATTTATGGTCCATATTGTATCTATGCACAGGAGATAAATGAAGCTCAAATATGATCCATCTGTTGGCTTCACTCATATTCATAATCAATATGGGTATGCACAATTAATGATAGAATCATAGAATCATAACACACAGAACTGGAAGAAACCTTACAAATTATCTAATCCAACTCCTTCATTGTTCAGATATGAATACTGAGGCCAACAGCTCATAGAATCATAGATTTAGAGTTGATAAGGACCTTACAGATCATCTGACTCCCTTTCTTCCATGAAAAAAAGAAACTAAGTCCTATGTCCACCTTAGGAGTACTGTCTCACTGATGTGCTTATCCAATTGTCTTCTACTTTCCCTGCTAACCAAAGTTTAAAAGAGAATTAATTCCTAGCAACACCAAAATGTGTTGGAGAGAGGGAGACGTGAACTGCCCAACACTGCACAGGTAATAACAGCTCACATTTATAGAAACACTTTTATGTTTTACAGAGTAAATTCCTATCTGAAATAGTTCACCCTTTAATTTTGGAGATATACATCCATATTACAAATGAGCAAATTAGGGCTTGAAGAGGTAGGGGACATGTCTGGGGTTAAATAGTAAATATTAAAGCTGGATTCAAATATAATGTTTTTGCTTTCAAAATTAGTACACAGATAAAGATAGATTCATATGCATATAAGTCTATATCTCTATCTATCTATCTGTCTGTCTGTCTACCTATCTATCTACTTTTATTGATGATGTGCAAGAGAATTACAAAATACAGTTACCAAGGATTTGAAAGTACCCTTCCCCCGCCATCAACTTCCTCAAATAAATTCAGCTTAGCAGAGGAAAGACCTTGGGGAAAGAACTCAGACTTCTAGAAACAAAACCTTATGGTAGGGACTGTGGGTGGGATCCAGAGAAGTTCTGCAAGATACAGACAACTAGATTCCACAAGGCTGCTGCTACTTGGTACCACAAGGTAAGGCTACTTCTAGGAAGAGGAAGTAGGGTGGGAACAGTCCAGCAAGGAGCTACCCTGGGGTGCTAAGTCTGACCATCTGAAGGCTTCCTATTTTAAGTCATTTTCTTGCTAACTAGGTGCTAAGCTCAGTTGTTTCTACCTGTTGAAGACGTCTAAGTGTTGTCTGTACCCTCTAAATTTTGACATCCTGATCCAATGCTCCGGCAGCTCCATTGTTTTTATAGTACTGCTAGATTTCAGTTTCTCTACTGTGTATAGACAGACAATTACTTGGAAAAATAAATAGAAAGTCAAACATAAAGAGGATTGCACAAACATTGAAAAAGGTTAAGAATCTAGTTAAACATTTGCTTCTATACTGTGAGGTAATTAAGAAATAAGTGCTTTGTAGGTACAAAGCTGGATAATGATGCATATAGTTTTGATGATTTATTTCAGAGGTTTTTCTTTCTGAAAATTTTTATCTGAACATTAAGTGTATTTATTCAGAAAATGGTCTTTGTTGAATAAATATTTATTGTTTATGCATAAAGCCTTGCTAGTCACACTAGAACAATATAAAGACATTTAAATCAGTCCTAGTTTTTGAGACATAGTCTCATTGAAAAGATGCATAACTGAAATTTTAAATAACAACATAAAACTATATATAATGAAGTATGAATAAGGGCTAAAGGAATTTAGAAGAGGATCATTGTACAATCTGAGATATGGAACTAGAAGGGACCTCTGAAAAGAGGTCACCATGGTGTAAAGTGATTAGAGAAATCTTCATGGAAGAGGGAGGGCTTCAACTGAGGGGAAGAGTTGGGATAGGTGGAGAGGACCAGGGAGACATTTTAGGTGGGACCACTGAAATTCAGAAAATGTAATCCTGCAATTAGAAATCTATCTAAATGGTAGGAAGCTCAGATTTCAGTTTTCTCATGTAATTAGATTCAAAGTTGAATTAAACAGATTCAACAAGATATGATTTTAGAATACTTGATTAGTCAATATTTTTAAAATATATGTATATGGATAGAAAGAGGTCAAAGACAGTTATTCTAGAGGATATTTCTGAGAAGAAAAAAATGACCTCAAGGTTCACAAATAAGCATGATGTAAACCTAAATTACTATATAATTTGAAATACTGTTCTTATTGTTGTTGATAATGATTTTTATCAATATGGGCAACTTCTAACCCATAGAATAGGTCCTTCAGAAAAGACTGTCTCAGATTCAAGATATTCTATGGCTCCATGTCCATGGGTCCACTAAAATGTGCCTGTCTATTTCACCTTTATAACATCTTTCAAATATTTCCCCTTCTCTTCTCTGACACACTGGTGCAGGCCCTCATCACCTCATGTCTTGCTTGCTGCAGCACCCTACTGGATAGCCAACCCAGCTCAAGTTTCTTCCCTCTATGATACATTTTTCATTCAACGACTAACGTGATTTCCTAAAACTCAGGTCTGATCATGTCAATCTTCCCAACCCATTCCTCCACCTTCCTCCCCTTCCACTCCCTTCCCACATTAAATTCCATGGTTTCATATTGTCTCCAGGAGCAAATACAAAATGTTATGTTTGGCATTCAAAGCTCTTTATAACCTAGCCCCCTTCTACCTTTACAATCTTTTTATATCTTACTCCTCAAAACGTACAGTAACACAGTCTCTGGCTTTTCTATTAACAAAACACTCCATCTCTAGGCTCTGGGCATTTTCTCTGGCTGTCCCCCATGCCTGGAATGCTCTCCTTCCTCCACTCTGACTACTGACCTCCCTGGCTTCTTTTAAGTCCCAAGTAAAATCCCACCTTCTATAGGAAACTTTCCTTAAACCCTATTAATTTCAGTGCTTTCCTTCTTTTAATAATTTCCTATTTATACTATACCTAGCTTGCTTTGTATTGTAACATGTTTGCATGTTATTTCCTCCATTAGATCATAAGCTTCTTGAGGGCAAGGAATGTCATTTGCTTCTTTTTGTATCCCCAGCACTTAGCACCATGCCTGGCACATAGTAGGCACTATTATATTGATCATTTGATCCAATAAACAATAAATGTTTATTGAATGAATGAATGAATTATCCTTGTTGAATATAATCTTAGCTCTTTCACAGGAATTTTCCTCAAATGACTCAAAGAACTGGAAAACAATGGTCATTTGAGATCTATTGTCTAGCACAGCAAGACATGTTATATTTTCAGTCTTATAGTCACTTTAGCATGAAATTCTATGGGCCAAGGTAGTGGTGGTGGTGGTGAGTTTTGGCTTAGCCTCTTCAGGGCCTAGGATGACCTCTCTTCCTAGCCCTTCCATGGGCACCAACTTCTGCTGAACCAAATTTCCATTTGGCACTAGAATGCACCCAATATATGTGGGACTTTTCATCCATAATAGTGGCAGAATGTAACTCTGACCTTTTAGCCTGCTACCTGTTGATAGCATCCTTGCATAATATCATGCCCTCTGATTCCCTGATCCCTTGCTTCTCTGAATGGAATGATTTTGTCCACTGTTCCATTTTGTATAAGCCCTTACTTTAGAGTCTGAAACACCAGTGGTGGTTTCATGCCTTGCTTTGGTGGCCTCTTCATGAAAAGATATTTTAGAGCTAGCCAAAGGTATACTTTTCCAAATCTGATCACTCTTTGCAGGTTAGAGATGATTCTTAAACCAACTTGCCCTTTGTAGCAAATGTTTAAAATCCAGCTTCTTATGTTCTAACTCAAGACATGTACGTGAAATCTCAGCTCTGAATGGTATAGTGTACCTTTGCATACTTGTTCCAGGCTGATCTTATCTGCTTCCTTGGGTTTTATTCTGTATCAGTCACCAGATTTGATATTCTACACATGTTAGAGATTCAGAGGGCTTTTCCCTATTTCACTGAATAGGAGACACTATAGACTTTGTCTATGTTTGCTCTGACCATCACATCTGGTCATATAGCTTTTGAAGTGTTCAGACTTCTAGATTTTTCAACCTTGAGTGAAATTATAAGGATAACATCTATTAGAAGACTGAGGCTCATTTTGATTCTGCTTCTTTTAGGTCCTAAGGAAATTATTAATGGAAATGTTGCTTTTAACAACTAAATATGTAGCAGAAGGAATTCTACCATTAGCTAGAAGACACAGAAACTAGCATACTGAGCTCTGGGGTATATGTTAGGAGATGCCTACACTTAATGGTGGCTGTTACTAATTATGTGACATGGGAAACAACTCAGCTTTTTTTTAAAAACCAGAATACATACATGCATATATGTATATGCATATGTATATGTATGTATATGTATATGTATATATATGTGCATGTATGTATGTATGTACGCGCACATATATATACACACATACACACACATCTATGTATATATATGCACCCACAGCAACATAAGAAAAAGGAATCCACAGTATCTACAATAGCAACTTGCAGATTCAGATGGCTATTTGCAATTAAGGGATAGCAGTCACTTTGGTAGATTCTGAGGAAAAAAGCCAGCATTATATTAGCAGCACCAAAATGTACTCTGTATCACATTGAACCAGAGATGAATTCCCCTCCAAAGAATCATTAGCAGAAACCTCATGGCAGGGCCTGCGGGTTGTAACTTGAGGCAGAAAGGAAGAAAGGAGCTGAAAGACTTTGAGAATAATAATTTGAAGAAAACAGTAACTGGACAGGGAGTAATAGGAAATTCAGTCCAGACATTAAGGTCAATGAACATATAATGTATTAAAAGACACTTGGTGAAAACTGGAGAGATCAATGCACATGTGTTTTCAGAGAGATTCAGAATCAGAAATGTATTTCAAGGAACATAATACAACACCATAAAAATTATCCACGCCTGTTCATATTTTTATATTGTATGAAGTCCTTATCAGAGTTTTCAGTGGACTAGAGGAGGAATAAGCTATAAGCAGAAAAAATATTTATTTCATATTTGATCTTCCACCTCTCCTATACACTTTAAAATACTAGGAAGTGGTGGAAAGACACAAGAATCTTGAGTTTTTTGATGCAACAAATATTTGCCAAGGACTTACTGTGCTAGGTCTTGGGAGAGATACAAAATTTAGATAATGTACAGTCTTTAGCCTCATGGATCTTAAAGACATAGTTTTGGATGAAAACTTAGAAGCTCAGTTAAATTAACTGACTGGTAAGAATGGATAAGTTATCTGGGAAAGGAGGATGTGAGAAAACATACAAGTTGTCTTTGGGGATTAATAAAGTCCCACCTTATGACATTCCTTGCACTGTCTATTTGCATCGTCCTTGAATCTCTGCTTTGTTACTCAACTATTCAAATAGATATGCATTGTCTCCCCAGCTCATTTATAAGCTCTTTGACAGTTGTTCCATAGAGACTGTTGTACATGGTAAGTGCTTAATAGTTTTTGGTATGTTTAGCAATTATTGGCATGAAAGCTGAATGATGAACATGGAGGGATAGACATACATAGAACATTGGTCACGTGCAAAATAACTGTGGTGCTTTGCAGCATTTCTTTAACTGTGGGTCACGACCCCATGTGGAGTTGTGAAAAATTTGGCAACAGTAAAAGAATTCTGAACACACAACCAAAAATTAATTAAAAATCAAACACGTAATGAATCTGAGGTGTTTCTGGCAGCACTTGCCTGCGTTACATCATACAACTTCACTGCAACCTTGGTTCTGAACACAAAGCATGTGCACTTTTCACTGTGCATGCCCTCAGGCCACACAACTAACTAATGTTGCTGAAACAGGAAAAGGGCTCCAAAGTGGAAAAAGGTTAAGAGGCCCTGCTTTAATACACTAGTCGCAGGTTAGTAATCCTCTTATATAAACAGGCCCAAATCAGGGAGAGACCCAACAACAGAAAAAGAAGAAAAAAAAAGCAAAGCAAAACAAAACATATCTTCCTTTTGTGGTCCCTTTCTTATGTATTGCTGCTCCTTACCATGCTGTGAAAGGAGAATCAGAGAATTTTGGGTCATGTGGGTTTGTA